CACAACCAAACAAACTCCAAGAAGAAGAAGAAGAAGAAGAAGAAGAAATATTTTATATACTAGCAAAGAAAGAGATACATATATATACACACATGTATATGTATATGTATATGCAGAAGAAGAGAAAGAGAAATTTCATGTGGGTGGTGGTGAAGTGGGTTTCTTGAATTTCTTGCATTCAACAAGTGTTTTTGGGTCATAATAAACTATTTCTCTTTTGTCTGTTTTTGTTTTCTGTGTTTTCAAAACTAGGGGTAAAGAGAGAGAGATTGAAAGTATTGTGTGGATCTCTGTTTCATGAAGGGATGCCCTTACCCTTTGATTTTCAGGGGAAGGGGTTATTAGATTCTTCTTCTTCTTCATATTCTTGTTCTTCATTGCCTCCATTTTCAAATCCATTGTTGAAATACAAAGAAAGTTGCTTTCTTGGTAGTGAGCCTACCTCTGTCCTGGATACCATCGGAAGCCCAAGCCCTCCTACTTCAACCTCAACCCTGTCTTCTTCTTTGGGCGGCGGCGGTGGTGGCGGCGGTGTGGCGGCGGTTTCAGGAAACTCATCTCACAAATGGCCTCCAAACTCGAATGTTGGAGTTGAATCAGCCTCACTGGAGATAACCACCACCGCCGGCGCCGCCGTGACGGCGGAGAAATGTGGGCTTGGGATGGAGGATTGGGAGAGCTTGTTGTCCGAGTCTGCGGCGGCGTCACCGAGTCAAGAGCAATCTGTTATCCGGTGGATCATGGGTGATGTGGATGACCCTTCAATGGGTCTAAACAAGTTGTTGCAGAGCGGCGGCGGCGGTGCTCAGCCGCCGGAGTTTGAATTCCATGGCGGTTTTGGGGTTGTAGATCAAGGTTTTGGGTTAGACATGGTTTCAAGTGTTGGGAATTTTATGGGCTCTATTAACCCCTCTTTACCCACGTCAGGGTTTTCTCAGGAAAAACTCTCTCTCCCCCCAAACACACCAATTCTCACAAATTACAAGCTTCCAAACCCTCAAAACCCTAATCTTTTCTCCCCCGGTCTCTTCAACCCACCACAGCAATGTCAACAACAGCAGCCACCACTTGAATGCTCAGATGTGAAGCCTCAGATTTTCAATCCACCATTGCTAATCAATCACCACCAAGCTCACCATACCCAAAACCCATCTTTTTTCTTGCCATTTCCACACACCCACCAAGAGCACCACCTCATGCCGCCGCAGAAAAGGCACAACCCTGGTGGCGGCGGCCTCGAACAGATCTCAAAGGGTCCGTTTTCGGATTCAATGCTTCATCAACAACCTCAAGGACTCTCTCACCAGCTTCAATTGCTTCCAAATTATCTTCAACAGAGACCAACAATGTCAATGAAGCCGAAATTCGAAGCAGCCGATGAAATGGGTCAACAACAACAGGGCATAATCGACCAGCTATTCAAGGCCGCAGAGCTGGTTCAGACCGGTAATTCGGTTCTCGCGCAATCGATATTGGCGCGGCTCAATCACCAGCTCTCTGCAATTGGTAAGCCTTTTCACAGAGCTGCTTTTCTCTGTAAAGAGGCTCTGCAATTGCTCATCACCAATCCCTCGGCGGCCAATTCGCCATTTAATCTAATCTTTAAGATTGCTGCTTACAAATCTTTCTCAGAAATCTCACCACTTTTGCAATTTGCAAATTTTACTTGTAACCAAGCACTCCTTGAAGCTTTAGATGGGTTTGATCGAATTCATATCGTAGATTTCGATATTGGTTATGGTGGGCAATGGGCTTCTCTGATGCAAGAGCTTGCCTTGAGAAGCACCGGAGCTCCATCGTTGAAAATCACTGCATTTGCATCTCCCTCAACCCATGACCAGCTCGAGCTCGGGCTCACTAGAGAGAATTTGAATCACTTTGCTAGTGAAATTAACATGGCGTTTGAATTCGATATTTTAAGCCTTGATTCATTGCACTCTGCTTCTTCATGGTCTCTGCCAATTCATGTCTCTGAAAATGAAGCAATTGCAGTGAATCTCCCAATAGGTTCATTTTCTAATTACCAATTGTCCCTCCCTTTGATTGTTCGCTTTGTGAAGCAATTATCCCCCAAAATTGTTGTCTCTGTGGATAGAGGATGTGATCGAACCGACCTCCCATTCCCAAACCATGTAATTCATGCCCTGCAATCATACTCAAACCTGCTTGAATCTCTTGATGCTGTGAATGTGAACCTAGATGCCTTGCAAAAGATTGAGAGGTTCTTGCTCCAACCGGGTATTGAAAAAATTGTAATGGGTCGATACCGTTCCCCTGAGAAGACACTGCATTGGAGGACCCTTTTTTTGTCATCTGGGTTCTCCCCATTAACGTTCAGTAACTTCACGGAATCACAGGCTGAGTGTGTGGTGAAGAGGACTCCGGTTAGGGGATTCCATGTCGAGAAGAGGCCATCTTCTCTCCTTCTGTGCTGGCAGCAAAAGGAGCTCATCTCGGCGTCAGCATGGAGGTGCTGAGGAGTGGAGGTGTCTTTGATCACGAAATTCATCCTTGTAGTCAAGAAGTTGCCTCATAAGTTATGACTTACTGCTTTAGTATTTGATATTTTTAAATCTTCTTGATTCTTCCCACTATCATCCAAGCATTCAGCCTTTGTATTTTTCCACCCAACCATGAAACATCAAATCAGTTCCAGAGAAATTTTGAATTTCTCTGGAAATAAATTCAGAATTTCTCTAGAGATAAATTTGGAAGTCAGAGAAATTTGGTTAAAATACATTATGAAAACACACTTGATAAATTCCGAAGTCAGAGAAATTTCGTTAAAACACATTCCGAAGTCAGAGAAATTCAAAATTTCTTTGGAGAGAAATTTCTCTGGATCAATTTTCTCTAGATCAATTTTCTCTGAATCAATTTGAGAGACCTTAGACATTATGAAAATATTGAGTGTCCTTTATGCTGTAAAATCTTAATACCAAGGACCTTAAAAAAAAATTCCCTTTTTTATATGGGTGTGGGAAATCATATTTGTGTAGATTCTACATCCATGTAAAAGGTTTGATAATTTATTTGGAGTCCATAGTATATTCCTAGATAGACAGATGAGTAATGTCAGAAATTCTAAATATTTTATTAAATGTCTGGAATTTATTTAGAATTTACATGATATGAGTCTTACACCATATTTAGGCCTATTTTAAAAAATGATTTATAAATTACTTCTTAATTTTTAACCTACTTTTTTTTCTCACAAAAAAATTTAAAAAATAATCAAAAAAATAATTTTTAATTATTTTTTCTAAACACCTTTTAATATTTGATAAAACATTTATAATTCCTAATATTTTTCTAGACAGACAGATAGATATAGAAAACAAATCCTAGGAGGAACCGCCCTAACATGCCCCACCAGACGCCACGCAAAAACTTGCTCGTTGGGCCCATTGTCGTATTATGTGGGCGGCGTATTCAGATGGTGTCTCACCATTTAACGGAGAGGATCTAGATTGCCAGATCCGAATTTTGGAAGGTGCGGTTTGGATTCTAGGGATTTATTATGATTTTATTGGGATAATTCAAATAATTTATTTTGTAAAATTTGTCATGCATATTATTCACAAAAAATTAACTTAATAATCGTAACTTATTTAATCTATTGAGTTTGTCGTTAAAAAAATTATCTATTTTTAAGAATACACTTGAAATTTATTTTTTTTAGAATAAATGTGATAAATTAAATAAGTTACAATAATTGAATCGACTTAATTTTTTTGTATAGATAATATACACAAAAAATACTATAAAATGAATTATTCATATTATCAAAATATAATTCGTGAACCTTACATGTCCAAATAACGAGAGCAGCCCAACCCTAAAGGATATTCCTTGAGAATGAGTCAAATTTTATTAGGTCTAGTAGGATTCACTACAGACCCATTTAGATAATTTAAAATGTTTATTTGTTGAATTTGTTAAATTTTCTAAGAACCCAAAGCGACATAATTTTAGTCGTAACATTTGTATTAGAAATTTGGTCTAAAAGGACGTAGTTAAGACTTAGTTTTACAAATACATATATATATATATATATATATATATGTATGTATATATATAAGCTTATTTTTTGTGATTACGCCTCTATAAATCAAACAATAAAGTCTACAAGCTAATCGAGCAAAATGAAATTCATATATCATAAATCTTGAATCTTTTCCTACTAGGGGTGAGCATGGTTCGGATTGGACCGGATTGGGGTAAAATCAGGACCAATCCGTTATCTACGGATCTTGAAAAATTGGAACCAATCCAATCCGTTTAAATGATGGAACCAATCCGAACCAATCCATTTAAATACGGATTGGATCGGTTTAGGACCACGGATTCACATAATTAAATAACAAAAATATATATAACACTTTAATTTCATAAAAATATAAACATAGCGCTATATTAGTTCCACAAAAGCAACATCTATTTCTATAATAGCGACATACTGTGCTAGAATTTAAACAACCATAAGAAAACTAGTTTCACCATAAGTATTTAGACCATTACAAATTAAAACTAAAAACTAACAAACAAAAGTAATAAAAAAAGATATTATACGGTTTTAGGTTTGAATTTAGATTTTGTATAGAATAAGAGAAGATACTATGGGAGAGGATGTATAATAAAAATATATACTATTTGTATACAGTCCGGATCGGTTCCAATCCGGAACCGTGGGGTTCAATCCATAACCAATCCGTGTATTACGGATTTTTAATTTTTCAATCTGGAACCGAATCACGGATTTAAAAAACCAATCCAAACCTATCAGATTGGACTGAACTGGATCGGATTACGGATTTCACGGATTCCTTACTCTGCCCTATTTCCTACGTTCTCAGCAAACAAACAGAGCAGAATAATCATTACCAATTAAGTGAACAAAGTCAATTGTCAAATCTAACCTTGCAGCATTATTTGCACAACGTTGCTCTCTCTCAAAATTAAAACACATTCTCATGTTTGGCAATCCTACCTCTTACCACGAGACTCGGCAATCCATGTTATGCCTATGTTTGGGAAGTGGGTTGGCTTTTTGACTTTTTAATTTTTTTGACTATTTTAGCCTGGGCTTAAAAGCTTAGTTTGGGAAAGACTTTTTGGCTTTTTTGAGTTTTTTTGTGAGAGAAGAATGTAATGATTATGGATTGGATGTGATGTTTTGTTTATTATAGCTAAAATAGCCTATTTTGTTTTTTGTGACTAAAATAACCAAAAAAACCTGCAAACCCACTTGCCAAACACAGGCTATATCACAGATAAGCTAAAACCAGAATTCACAAATATTGATGATGGGGAGGGGTCCCAAGTGGTTTTCAACAGTAAGTTTCTACAATGATTCTATCACCAGTGACGCTGCAAGCGTGTTACTTAATATTCCTAAATCGATATACTTCACGTCTCAGTGACCAAAAAGAAATACTCAACATCTGAATTCAGAAACGATGGAAAAACAAGTTGCAATCACATACGCTCCAAAATTTTAAAATACCGTAAGAATCAATTATAGTGCTACCAAAAAACAAAAAAATTCATTAAGTTAGAAATCATGCATTGTCTTTGAACATTACCTTATTATCCTTGTCATTTCATAACTATGAATAGAGAAGTAGATAAAAGAAAATTTGAAGTTTTAAAAACAAAAGCATACCGATTATGCAAAGTTATGAACATTGGCAGAAGTAATGACCTATCCAAAAAATATATTCTCACCACTCTTCTATATGATAAGCGACTACGAGCAATGAACCTCTAGGTCAAGTACATAAGCAGATTTAGTAACGGTAAGTCAGCAATTGGTTTATGCATATGATGCACAATAATGGAAAAAAATGCTGCAGCTTATCAACTATATCCGGATGCAGTAAATTATGGTAGAGGAGTTGGTTCCCCTTCTGAATAACATTTTTTTGGGGGGGTCCTGGGACATTTTCAGCACCCATGCTTAATGTGAATATTTATTTCATCTCATTCCTCAGCACAGATCAATAAGGCATCCATTGAAGTGACTAAGGTATCACCTACTACAGTTTCAGTGGACATAGTTCTAAATTGCTATCGCAAATAATATAGAGAAAAGAAAAGAACAATAATAATTTAAAAGTATGCAATATGCATACTGATTTTGTAACGTTAACACCAATCCAATTCTAAAATAAATCTAAAGCGTAAACATATTTCCATGAAGTGATTCAAAATGGATAGAAATATACTTGCAGAAAAAAAAAAAAAAAAAAAAAGGCAAAAAAAAAAAATAAAAAAGGCAGCTTTTAACCATTTGGACAATATTGCCTAGAATGACCAATTTGGACGTCCAAATGGGTGGGCCCATAATTGTGGGCTTATTGGGCTCTCATCCTTTAGTTAATTAGCCCAAAGTAGTTGTGGGCTTAACATTGGATAATTAGTCCAGATTATTGGGCTTTTCTTCAAATGGATGGGCCCAGAGTAGTAAACAAGAGACTGAAGTGAACTCTCCAATCTTGAACCCCCCCTCCCAAAAAAAGAAAAAAAAAAAAAAAAAAACCCCCAAAAAAAAAAAAGAAAGTGAAGTACCCATTCATTGGATCCAAACAATTGAATTCTCTAGCCCAGGGCTGCATTAAAATATTATTTTTAAAAAAATACAAAACAACGGTACTACTTTCTTAAAAAAAATTAAAAAATACAAAAGTTTGGAATATGGTGCATGTTGTGCTTTAAGGCACATGAGAGAGTGTTGCCCCTTTGGGTGGGATCCATTCCAGATTTATTTTGGTGATCTAAGTAATTTATTTTGTACAACTTGATAAGAAGATCATTTATATATAAAGAAATTAAATTGATTGTCTATTGATGACCTCATAAACGAATTATGTTTTTAGTATAATTTCGAGAGATGAAAGAACAATAATAATTAAAAGTATGCAATATGCATACTGATTTTGTAACGTTAACACCAATCAATTCAAAAATAAATCTAAAGGGTAAACTATTTCCATGAGTGATTCAAAGTGGAAGAATATACTTGCACAAATAAAAAAAAAAAAAAAAGAAAGGTCTAAACAACATTACTATTATGCTGTAAATGAAGGTATACCATCTACCTGTTACACAAAGCAGTTTTCTTATGTGCTGCTATGAAGGTAGAAAGTTATTTTATATTATTCATAATTCCTGATCACTACTTATATGAGCTATACAGGCGATCACCAGATGTACAACAATACATTGCACAAGCAAATAGCTCATGACCCTTGAATCGGTGCTACAAAATTCTCAATATGTACAAGTATATCAAATTCCTCGCATCGTCAAGCCAGAATAATGTGACACGGGCAGAGGAGTTCGCTGAAAGAAGAGGATGCCTACAAGTTTCAGAGGCTCAGAGGCTAGAAGAGATGCAACTGGGATGTAATCCCATTTAGAAGAGGATCTTCTATAGTTATTTCTTGATAAACGTTCTGACAATCTGGATACTTCGTCCTTAGAAACATGT